AAAAAAAAAAAAAAGAAGCAAGACGAAAACACACAGGAGGGAAACTCCTGGGATTCTTCTTCTAGGGATGTAAATCATATGTGCAAATAAAATGCCTCAGTGGAAAAAAAAAGAAAGAAAGAAAGAAACTGCTTCAATTTCTTCCAATTTCATCCCTCGCAAGTTCTACCTTCTGGAAAACACTAGAACACTAACCCAATTCAGCTAAGTTTTTTGCCACTTTATAAAAAACAAGGATCCCCTTTCCTCCCGTTTCCAATAACATGTTCCTCGTTTCCATCTGAGACCCTGTCAAAATGCCTTTACCATCCATATTTCTCCCAACGTTCAGTCCAGGATTATTAGGGGTTCTCTGAGAAAACTGAGGCTTTCTCTCCAGAGCTCTCCTTCCCTTTCTAGCTCTCTCCAGAATCACCCTTAAAGATCTTCACATTAGTGAAGGCTTTTCTGAGCATGCAGCTCAGACACTTCCAGCTTCTGCCTGATACCCCGTTCCAGAGCTGTGTCCACATGCTTGGGTGTTTGCTACAGCAGCCCCCCACTTCTCAGCACATATTTCTATCTTAGTCTATTTGGGCTGCTATTACAGAACACCATGGACTGCGGCAGGTTGGGGGCGGGGGGTGCTTATAAATAACAGAATTTTTTTTTTAAGTAAACCACGCCCACCGTGGGGCTCAAACTCACGACCCTGAGATCAAGAGTCACACACTCCACTGACTGAGCCAGCCAGGCACCCCAACAGAAATTTATTTCTCACAGTTCTGGAAGCTGGGAAGTCCAAGATCAAGGCACACGCTGTTCAGTGTCTGGTGAGGACCTGCTTCCTGGTTTGTAGATCGCCCCCTTCCGGCTGCATTTTACATGGAGGAGGGGGCCAGACAGCTCTTTTTCTAAGGGCAGCAACGCTGTTCACAAGGGCCCCACCCTCATGACCTAAGCACCTCCAAATACTATTACACTGGGGATTAGCTTTCAACCTACGAATTTTGGGGTGGGACACATTCAGTCTATGGTGCCCCATAACCAAAGATGGTTATTGCTGGGAGCTGCCCAGGCCCTTAGCCTTCACTTATTTCTCCTCACCACTGCTGGGAAACTGACTCTGCCGAAAGACTGGCCAAATCCGGGTCCTGAGTCACCAGTGTGGACAGAGAGGTGCTGGGACTGGTTCCTTCTAACATTTAGATAAATGTTAATAAATAACGTGTTAATAAATAAATGCTAATTGATAAATCGCCATCCCCGTCCCATGATTCCTGTGGGCACCAGCCCCTGCATCTGTATACACACCTCCACTTTTGCCCAAAATATTTGCCTTCCTCTCCTCATGTACCTGCAAACTCAGCTGTAAATTATCCCGTGGGGCGCCTGGGTGGCCCAGTCGGTTGAGCGTCTGCCTTCAGCTCAGGTCATGATCCCGGGGTCCTGGGATGGAGCCTGCTCCACGGGGAGCCTGCTTCTCCCTCTCCGCACTGCTGGTGCGCTCTCTCTCTCCCGCTGTCTCTCTCTCTCTCCAATAAGTACATAAAATCTTTAATAAATAAAGTGTCCTATGGACTCAGCCCACTAGGGCAGCCCCTCCAGAGGCTCAGGACCTCGCTGCACAAGTACCTATGACATCGCTAGCTGCCTACAGCCCCCTGTGACCTCGCTGCCTGAACAAGGCGAGCAGGGCCGTGGCCACTCCCTCAGCCAGCACAAGTGACCGAGGGGCCAGATGACCAGCAGACCCTCGGGAGAGGCCAGAGATGCCAGCATCCGCACACATGGCGACAGCAGACCCACGGACGGTCTTACAGAGGGGTCCCCAAATCAGGTCCCCCTCCCTGCAGATGCCCCAGTGGCTAACGGTGCTTTAGCGTCATCCGTCGAGTCGGTGACCTCCAAACCCACATCAGCGTCTGGGGACGAGGACAGGCCTGAAGCTGCTGAAAGGCACGGCCGGGAGCCCACGGAGGCCTCAAGTGCTCGGCAAACGTCCACGAGCCCCCAGGACCCAGCACGCGACAGACCGGTGCAAGACCCGGGCGTGACTCAGAGCCTTCAGACGTCCGTGCGTGACTCCCTGGCGGAAGAGACACGGCAGATGGCAGGTACCCCGGGCGGAGAACGAGAGTCAGCTCCGACTACCCCAAGGACTAAGGTTCAGCTCCGCGGTAGCGTGGACGCTCAGCCCATCGTGAGCGCGGCAGACGTGGATGGCGAGCTTGGCAGTCAGGCCACCAGCACCACCGAAACTGTTGAGGAGGGACCGGAGGGTCCGGAGGCCTTGAACGCGGACACTGAAGCTTTGCCAGGAGCCGGGTCCCGGCGAGTGACTGCGGGGGATTTGGAGGACCGCTCGGGAAACCCGCAGGCTCAGCAGTTGCCTCCTTCCCCGGGAGGCAGCACCCCGCCCTCGCCTGGCCCCCAAGAGGCGGCCCTGGGGAGGAGGTCCCTAGACTCCAGGCTTTATGAGGCCAACGAGGAGAACACCTACATGCGCTCCATGACCAGCTTGCTGGGCGGAGGTGGGGGGTCCATCAGCTCCCTGGCAGACGTCCTGGTGTGGTCTGAGACCACCATGGGCATGGCCACGGCCCTCCTGGCCTCCGGCCACAGCTCCGTGACCGACCTGCTGCACAGCACTGGGCCCAGCCTGCGCTCCGTCTCCAGCATCCTGGGGAGCACCTTCTCCTCTGGGCTGATGGCCGGGACTAGCTCGGCCCTGCGCTCCGTCACCCGCGTGCTGGAGAGGGTGGAGCAGAGGACTGTAGAGGGTGTCCGCTCGGCCATGCGCTTCCTGACCAGCCACCTTCTTCCCGGCCAGGCCCACGCCGGCCCAAACTCTGAGTAGCCCCACGGAGGGAGCCCCGAAGGACTGGCTCAGCAGCCTCTGAGAGCCCTGGCACCCTCACGCCGGCTCCCTTGCCCACCCCTGCCCTGGCTGGCTCTCCCCAGATCGGACAATAAAGCACTGGCGAGCGTTTATTTTCTAAGCGCAGAAAGGTGTCCCCTGAGGGCTTCTCGGGTTGTCCCGTTCAGGGGGCCTGGGGGATGAAGTCCAGAAAGAGCAGAGCCTGGCAGGATGGGGGGGCCAGGCGTGGGGGCCTCAGACCTGCAAACATTGTCCCTGGCTGGGCCTCCAACCAGGTGAGTGGGTTCCTGAGGCAGTGAGACCTGCCCCAGGGTCTGCCGGTGTAGCGGGCTGGGGGGGCCCCTGCTGGTGTAACGGGCTGGGGGTGCCCTGCTGGTGTAATGGGCTGGGAGGGCCCTGCTGACGTAATGGGCTGGGGGGCCCCTGCCGGCATCGCGGGCTGGGACCCCCCAGTGAGGTTGAGAGGACGGAGCCAGACCAATGTGGGTTCACACCCCAGTGCTGTTACTGATCCTGGGCAAGTCGCTTCACCCTCTGAACCTCCGATTCTCACCCATAGGACGGAGAAGGGGCCCACACGGTGAGGATGTTCAGGAGACGTAAGGGAAACAAGCCACGGCCTACCTCGCGGCGTCTGGCACCTAACGAGTGCACACATTACAGCCGCCATCTCTCCTCCAGCAGGCCGGGCAGGAGCAGGAGCAGGAGCAGGATCTAGGCAGGGGCGCCAACTATCCCTGTTTGCCTGAGACTAAGAGGGTTCCTGGGACGTGGGACTTTCAGATGCAAAACCAGGAAAATCCCGGGCAAACTGCGGCGAGTTGGTCACCCTAGACCCAGGTTTCTTTATAAATGTCTACGTTGGAAAGGGAGCGCCTGGCAGGATAGGGTGTCGCGTGACTTGGTGAGCAGCGCTCTAGCGACACATCAGCCCCACTCCTGCCCCTGGCCCGGTGACGAATGCGGGTCCCACTCCGCACACCTCCCTGCCTCAGCCCTGGCCGTGGTTTTGTTCATTTGGCCCTCGGCAAGTGGGAGCCCTGGTCGGAAACTGGCCACCGATGCATTTGTTCGCCCCATACAGTGTTTCTCAAATTGTGTATTAATTGCTAACACTTTAAAACCAGGAGATTTTAACATAAAATTATGGATTAAAAAAATAGATTTCTGCGTCTCTTAAAAAACCTTGAGGCCTTGGGGTGCCTGAGTGGCTCAGTTGGTTAAGCGACTGCCTTCGGCTCAGGTCATGATCCCAGGGTCCTGGGATCGAGCCCCGCATCGGGCTCCCTGCTCGGCGGGAAGCCTGCTTCTCCCTCTCCCACTCCGCCTGCTTGTGTTCCTGCTCTCGCTTTCTCTCTCTCTGTCAAATAAATAAATAAAATCTTTTTTAAAAAAAACCTTGAGGCCTTATTTCTTCAGAGGAACTGCAGTCGAGCTGCCCTCTTTAGAGGGACGCACCTGGCCTGCATAGTGATTGATGTCACCTGCCCGCCCCCAGAGGCACGCCTTTGCCACCCCCTACCCTGCAGGTGGCTCCCATGAGGAAGTGGGATGCCAGGCCACAAGGGGATGTAAAGACAGAACAGGTGTGTCTACACCCTCTTCTCGAGGGGCTGCCACTTTCTGTCGGTGAGACATGAACCGTCCTCACCGTGAAAGCAAAATGCTCAGAGGAGGAAGATTGTCCATTCAGATCCCAGGAATCGGGGTCTTCCGGAGGATCACCTGAGTCAGGCGTGAAAAGACGGGAGCGGTGGCATCCCCCCGACGGAGGGGACAGGACCACCAGCTGAGGCAGGCCTGAGGCGCGCTTAGCTGGGGAGGGCGGCGGCCAGTTCGAGCTGACCTGAGCCCAGAACAGAGAACAGGTGACCACGTTGCCAGTGTAGACCCCAAATGCTTTCCGCAAATGATTTCTGAACCGGGTAAGTGCCACTCTCTGGCAGGCACGGTCCCAGAGAGACTGCCAAGGTGAAGGAAGGGACGGAAACCAAACTCAAACCAGAGCAGCTGAAGGGATCAGCCGAAAAGCATAACTGCCAAGTGGGCGTGGCTGGACCCGGGGTTCAGCCTTGTCCTCAGGGCTCTGTCTGTCTCTCCAGCTCTGGCCCTGCCACCCCCCTGCTGGCTCCATTCCCAGGCGGCTCAGCCACCTTCCTGCAAAGACAGAGGCCCTTGTTCTCACTAGCTCTGGTAGGTTTGGCCCCCTTGCTCGCTCTCCTGCACCCATCACTGAGGCTTTGGAAATGAAATACCTCATTACCTGGCTTGGGCCTCACACCTACCTGGGGGGTTCGGTGGGTGGGGGTGGGCACCAGGCTCAGCCCAGCAGTGGGGGTTCCCACAGGAAGAGCTGCTGGATCCACACCATTTTGCGTGTTAAAGCGTTGTAAAAGAGTGTGGCCTTGGGGGCCAGGCTGCCTCGAATCCTGCTCTACCTCCTACTAACTGTGTGTGTTACTTCTATCTCCCTATGCCTCAGTTTCCTTATCTGTAAAATGTCAATAATAGCGGTACCTACTGCATCGGGCGGCTGTGAGGGCGACATGAGTTAATGAGTCAAGTTCATAGAACAGTGCCTGGCACGCACTTGAGTGCTCCATGTTGGCAGTCACCGTGATTATAGTTACAGACACTTCGGTGGACTCCTTGCTAAGGACTGACTTTCCCTGCTTGCTCCAGCCTCCCTCTCTGCTGCGGAATCACAGTCATGTGGGCAAATCCTCCTGGCAACTTCTCTGTAGGTGGGCCCCCCTCCAGGCATCCAGGTGCTAGTGCACCTGGGGAGAAGGGCAGACCTGCATGCTGGGGGCTGAGGGTGAGACACGGACAGAAGTGGGAGCACCCCAGCTCTGGATAAAATGCCAGAGGGAGAAAGGAAAGGCCCAACGCAGAAACCTGGGGAAAGGCCCCAGTCCCCGGGCAGAGGGAAGCTGTCGGCAGGCGGGAGTGCTCCCACCCATTACGGGCATGGGGGCCACAGTGCGGGCTGCACATGGAACAAGGGGAGCACTACTGGGGAGGAACAAGGTGGTGGGTGAGGGGGAAAAGAATGAGCAGGATAGGGGCGCCTGGGTGGCTCAGTCATTAAGCGTCTGCCTTCGGCTCAGGTCATGATCCTGGGGTCCTGGGATCGAGCCCCGCATCGGGCTCCCTGCTCCGCGGGAGGCCTGCTTCTCCCTCTCCCACTCCCCCTGCTTGTGTTCCCTCTCCCCTGCCTCTCTCTGTCAAATAAATAAAATCTTAAAAAAAAAAAAAAGAATGAGCAGGGTAACGGGGTGCTGTAGGGAGGGTACTCTTTGGTGTTGAGAACCAAGGCACAGTTTTTAATTCACCCCCATAAAGCTGGCAGCTCCTCACTCTTCTCATTGAGGTGCTAGGGTTAACACCTGACAACCACCCACACTCCTCCAGAATCAACAACCAGCTTTTTGGGTGTGTGTTGTGCCGCTGAGAGATGGGCCTGTAAGCAGAGGTTCTGCGTAAAGAGACTTTTAGGCCGGGCTGAGCGCCAGCAGGGCAGGAGTGGCATCCTAGCCTCTGAGCCCGGCTGCGGCTTGGCTTGTGGGAGGGCACCCACAAGTCCTGGCAGACAGCAGAAGGGACACTGTGCCCCTCCCACCCCCCGTGGCGCGGTGAAGGACTCAAGCCCCCAGCCGTCCGCGGACAGCCTTCAGTGCGGGCCCCTTCAGAGACGTCGTGACCAGGTCTGTGCCCAGGGCTCAGGCCTGACCGTCCAACCCCAGTTCCAGAGTGCCGTGGCACTGGCCCGGGTGACCTGGAATTTGCACTGCAGACCCCATTCCCGTCCGCCCCCTCGGCCTCAGAGCCTGTGTTCCAGAGACCCCAACCTGTGTCCAGAGGCTGCTGATTTTTTCCATCTGAGATGTGTGTGTGTTTGCGGGGAGGTGGGGTGGGGGGGACTGCAAATTCAAACTGTGGAAAAAGTTCAAAGATCTTTTTAAAGGGGGGGCACCTGAGTCTCAGTCGTTAAGCGTCTGCCTTCGGCTCAGGTCATGATCCCAGTGTCCTGGGATCGAGCCCCACGTCGGGCTCCCTGCTGAGGGAAGCCTGCTTCTCCCTCTCCCACTCCCCCTGGTTGTGTTCCCTCTCTCTGTCAAATAAATAAATAAAATCTTAAAAAAAAAAGATCCTTTTAAAGAGAAACTTCATTGTAAGAAAAGTTAGAAACTTGACACCATCTTGAGAATGGTTAAAAAAAGGGAGGGGAGCTAAATCTTGGTCAGTGTTTTTACTTGTTTTCTAAGGACAATGTTATTGTTTAGTCTACAGCCGCTTGCCTAATTGGTTAAAGTCACCATGTGATTGTGGTCAAGTTTATAGGTTTGCCTGGGTGAGGCACAGATTCTATCCAGGAAAGAGTGTCTCCAAAAGAAAGTGACCACAGATAAGGGCAGTCCCCCCCCCCCAGGAGGAGGTAACAAAGTGTAAAGGTAAACTAAGGTCTTAGGTACACATTTACATATTTAAATGAAAGACTGGATCCTCTCTGGGCTAAAAGCAAGCCTCATTTCCGAGACTGCCTGGTTCCCGAGCTTCCAGTCCCTAAGAGTGGAAGGTGCGCCCTCTGCTGGAAAGAAGGCAGCACTGGCCTGCAGCAGGAGGGCGCGAGGCCAAAGCCCAGCCTTGAGGATGTTTGCTTGGGGATTTGAGACACACCCGTGAGAGAAATGGGGGTTAAAAGAAAATTTTCTTTACTCGCAACACTTCTGACACCAAATGTGTGGGTTTTCCACACCAAGCAATTCTCCAATTCTCTGCAGACACCCACCTGGGTGTCCTACAATTCAATTCTGGCACCAGCTTGAGTTAGCACAAACCCTACGGGTTAAGGGCTCAGTCCCACCAGATTGCCCCACTTCAGGTCCCTGAGTACCCACTCTTCTCTCTAATGTGGCCACAAATCAGGGATTCCCACGACTCTCTCCTCAGGTTGGATAATTGGCTACAAGAACTCA